CCTCCGGGCGGCGCTGCCTCGCGATGCCAAAAGTCCCTGTGTAGGGAGCTTCCCTCTGCAGGTCCCCAATCCCTTCCCCAGCTGGACGAGACACGTTTCATTTCTTCTTCCTGTAGAAAAGGGCCTCTGTAAATGACTGGGGGTCCTGTGTTATCCACATAATGTGTGTGTCGGAGGAGGGGGGATCTAGGTGTTGCTCATTAAGGATCCAGAATCTGATGCTTTCTCAAACAGCAGCATGACTTTTCTCCACCAAAGAGCCTGGATGGATGGGAGCGGCTGCTGTCACGTTCTCAACAAGTCCTGGGAGTCTCTTGAGCTCCCCAGGAAGAGCCCGTGAAGCTTTTGGCCTCTTTCATTTCCCCTCCCTTTGCAGTTCTAGCACAAGAGCCTCGGTGCTGGGCCTCGCTGACCGTGTGCTTTGTTCATTGCAGCTGTCTGCCGTCCTCTGCCCGTCACCTTCCATCGAGGTGAGTTCCCTGGCCGTGTGGCCCTGGCCAGGGCTTGCGAGGGAGCTGGTGTTTGCCCCAGCTCTGGGAAAGGCTGAGCTGTCCGTGCCCGGCATGAGTAGGGCTGTGCCTGAGCTGTCCTCCCGAAACGGAGGAGGGTCCATGAGGGTCCTGCTTGGTGGCTGGTGGCTCTGTCATTGCCCTGTGTTGGCTGGAGGGGTGAAGTGTCCCAGAGCTGAGCCCTGTGGCCCTGCTGCTGCTGTGCGGAGCTGTGGCTGTGCAGCAGTGGCCACCTGTGAGAGAGACCCTTGTTGTCTCTGCTTCCCGGGCTCCTGAACTGGGCTTGAAGGACGAGCTGAGTGATTTCTGAGCCATTCTCTTGGCCTTTCAGCCTTTGACATGGTGCACGACCCGCTCGTAGCACTGGAGACGCTGATTTCCCTGGGGTTTGAGCGGGTGCTGACCAGCGGCTGCGACAGCTCTGCGCTCGAAGGCTTGTCCTTAATCAAGAGGCTTGCTGAGCAGGTCGGTGTTCTCCCTGCTGCTCTGGGTTACCTCGGCTGCTTCCCGCACGCAGCCGGAGGCAGCTTCTTTACGGAAGCTCTTATTCCTGCAAGGAAACTGTCATCAAGGAGCATTTACCCTCCTTCCCTGCCTTGGGTTGCTCCTCTTCCCCAGCATCTAAGGCAGACTGGATCCCTGAAGTCTCCTCCAGCAAAAGCCAATTTGGCTCTCTGCCTGCAGCCTGCGAGGAGGGAGGCAGAGGTGGTTGGAGCTTAGGTTCCACTTTGGCCCTTGCTCTGGGACAAGAGCACCCATGTGAGCTGCTCCTCGGGGCTGTGGGCATTAGGAACTTGCTTGGCTGGAAACCTGCTGCTGTCAGGAGCCAACAGAAACAGCAAAGCAAGGTCCCTGCTGCGGTCTCCCAGTTGTTGGGGGAATAGAGCATATGCACCTGAGAAATAGCCAGGTGGGATAGAGAGGTAGGAGGAAATGGGATTAGGTTGTATGAGCTCTGGCTTATTTCTTTTTCTACTTTTTTTTTTTTTGTACAACATGAGCAGCACAGAAAAAGTGAGTGCTTGAATCATGAACAGAGTGACATTTGTGAGCTTGGTGAAGGCGCTGCAGTTTTTTTGCTACCTCATGACTCACTGTGCATGGTAAGATAGAGACGGAGCGATTTGCTAGCGTCACTAATGTGTTATTTTACCCTTTCAGGCAAAGGGCAGGATCGTGGTAGTGCCAGGTATGTGTTTTTCTGTTTTTTTTTTTTTTGTCACATGTAGCAGGTCCAATAGTCTGTGGTCCAGTATTCTGGGACACAGTGTGTGACCTGGTTTTCTGAGCTGGGTCCCTAGGAGGACATGCTCCTGCCCTGCTGTGAGTCAATGCAGCACAGTTGGTGCTCAGGGGTGGCAGAGCCCTGCGACTGCCCTTCCTTGGAGGTTTTAGACACAGTTCTAGATTTATGGGAGAAACCAAAACTTCTCCCAGATCTTTTCAGTTGCCTACGTCTCTGTTGTCCCAAGGACTGTGGTTTCCTTTGGGGCTAGATCCAAGGGTAGTGCCAGGGATGTGACTGCTACCTTTTGTGCTGCATGTGACATAAACAGGCATTCTTCCTGCCAGGGGGTGGCATCACGGAGCGCAACCTGCAGAGGATTCTGGAAGGCTCTGGTGCTTCTGAGTTTCACTGCTCTGCTCGCTCCGTCCGGGACTCAGGGATGAAGTTCAGGTAATGGAATACTTTTGCTAACAGAACTGTATGGTGGAAAAGATGGATTAAGCAGAACTGAGTTTGTAGAAGAAGCATAAATTCCCAACCTCCTCCTGAGCACTGATGGCTCTCCTCGTGCGGTTGGGATCGTGATGCCTGGCTCTGTGTTCTGCAGTGCACAAATCCAGCGGTGCTCATCATCTGGACATGCGAGCTCCGTGCAGAACGAGATCCCCGGGGCATTTCTTCTGGTACTGCTGCCCGGGGGCTCATGAGTGCACTTGTGTGGCACTTGGTAAGACAGGTTCTGGTGTTGCTGCCTCAGGCCTGCAGCACCGGTGTGTGGCGTTTGGGATACCTGCGGGATGTACCGCTGTGAGGAATGGGGAATGGGTTTCGGTTGATGCTGGTGCTTCTCGTTGCTGGATTGCTCTTCTCTCTTTTACTGCCTCATCTTTTCTCTCTATTACTGCCTCATCTTTGGTGCAAGGTGGCAGCAGCGGGTTCTCTGTCCTCTGCTGAGAGTAGGGAGATAATAGCTGATCTAACCATCCTTGGCACCCTCAGATAGTAATCAGTCCTGTTTCCTACAGAAATCCGAACGTTGCCATGGGAGCATCCTTCTCCGCCCCTGAATACTCCATAAAGGTGGCAGATGTGGCCAAAGTGAGGACCCTCAACGCGATTGCAAAGAACATTCTGTAGCGGAAGGCATCGTGCTGGGGCAAGAGCGCTGAGACTCCAGAGTCTTCCCTGCTGTGTGGACAGATGGGTACTGCTTTTGTCCTCAGGCTGCAAATGACATGAACTAGGTGATGAAGCCTGATGTCTCTTCCCTTGGCTTCTCCTCATTGACCAGTCCCCGGCCTTGAGATTTACGCTGGCCATTTTAATTCAAAAGACTCATTCCTGGATGTTGCAGCAACAAGCTGTTCAGCAGCATTTGGGGAGGGAGCTGAGCAAGTAGGGGGACTGAACTGTGTAGCACTGCATGTGATTGTCAAATAAACACTGCAGCAGCTGCTCCCCTTTTACTGTGTTTGTTTTGTTTCTTTTTTTGCAAGTAGAACTGCATGGTCTGTGTCATGTAGCCTAGTACAGTATTGATGTCACTTCTAAATACACACTGGGAATGGAGAGGTTCTGATGGGCTCATCCATGTGACAAGGGACAATTTGCACAGGGAAGAGAGACACTTCCCAAGAATAAGGTAATAGCCAACAAGCATTGAGCCCAGGAGAGCCTCAGTGCAGCCAAGCAGAAGCAAGAGGCAGACAAGGGGGTACTGAAATAGTCAGAGCTTCTACTACACCAAAGTAGAAAACAGTCATGTCTAGAGTGCTGGAAAGCACTGGCTGCTGTGGTCAGCCAGTATGACAGCTCTTCATATTCCTCTTCATATGTGGAATTGATTAACACACCAGGCTCTGATGGAAAGGAGCTTCTAACTACCCGACCGACCAGGTGAGTTGGTTTTGAAGCATCATAGGCTATGGGTGTGAGTGCTTGAGGTGGGATGGACATATGTGGAGATGTCTGTGGGATAAAAGGTGCTTTTTCACAGGGAGTCTCCAGCTCTTTTTTTTTTTTAATGTGAAACACAGATCATGCTGCAGACAGTGCTCAGGGGAGCATAGCTGTTGGGTTATTGCTCCTAGTCAGAAGCATAGCCTTGGGCTCATTTCAGTTATCCTGCAAAATAACTGCTTCAAGATTTGAGCAGTGTCTGAGTAGTCCATTAAAAGAGTCGAGATCACAGAGACAGAGCACCTTTAATCTTGCAGCCCGCTTTTACTTCTCTTA